AATAATTTGTAACAGTCTATAACCAGGATTAAGTACATAGTGATAAAGGATAATTTATTAATGCCCAATATTTCGAAAAAAAATAACGTTCAGGAAATAACCGATTTGCTACGATATTGGACAATGTTAGAATTTTTTGAAGGAAAGCATTACAGTAAGACTACCTTGATAATAACAGACATCTGCAAAAAGTAGAAGCTGGACAAGTTCATTTAAGAAATTCAGTAGCTTAAAGGTTGATCTCTTTTATTTTTTCATGTTTTTTTTTATAAGTCTGAAAAACTAAAGATAGAAAGGAAATGCCCATAATTAGATGATAAGTATCATTGAACATAATGATATTGTTTATTCACTAGACTATAGGAAATTCATCTTATATATTTCTTCCTCCTCAGCATGACTGTCATACTCGTCCACACTCCTTATAGTCTGAATTGATCATCTTGTCCTCAAATGCAGACAATTTAGTATATTTGTACATTGTATATACTTAAAATATTTGAAATAAATTGATTTATTTATTGATTTATTTATTTATCAGTAAAAATCTTTTAGTATATTATACATGTAGATCTGGGTTCACTTCATATGTAGGCAAGGTGACATTCACAGAACGCAGGCCAGCCCCCCCCCCCCCCCCCACACACACACACACACACACACAGACACACACATTCAACCCAGCCACACAAGCAGGGCATCGGGCATCATATTGGGTTAAGGATCCCTATAATGAAATCCTCTTTGGGGTTTAGGATCCTTGTAATGAAATCTTCTTTGGTGATCGAAATCTTCTTTGGTTTTAAGGCTCCCTGTGATGAAATCTTCTTTGGGGTTTAGGTTCCAAGTAATGAAATATTAACTAAGCTTGTGCGGAATGTAGAAATTGCCAGCATTGAATTTGATATAATTATACTTCCTTAAAAGTCACTGGTCTTTAGGTATGAATATGGCTAACATTTATAGTGTTAAATAAACATCAATGTATTTTATAAAAGATAAAAAGAACATAAAATGTTTTTTTTGGTCAATATATTTCTGTTAAGGAGAAATTTTTTTCATAGTGCTAAATGAATTTAATTGAAGCAATTTTTAACAGATGAAAGGAAGATAAAACATACATGTTATCTTAAGTAGGTTTCAAATGTAGAAAACATAAAATAATTTAAATATTGCCTAAAATTTAATTGTGTATATCCTGTACCTGCCTTTTTCTGTCTCAATAATTACTTCCTGTTCTAAGTTTACAACTGGAAGACAGTTACTTTTTGCATATAGTAAATAAGCAGTGAGGGGTGTATATGAGAAGGGAAGTAACTCATGATCAATTTCTCTTTAAGATTTCACCAACTTGTCTCCCTTTAGAATGCACTCTTAAGTCTCATGTTTGTGACTAAGCTTTTTCTATATCGGAACCCTCAAAAACAACATTGGACAGTTTGAAAGCCAAATAGTTAAAACAATACAAGTCTATTGTACTAATTTTGTCGGGCAGAAGCATATAATACTTAAGTTGAATGGTTAATAAAGTTATTGATTTTCAATTATACAGAAAATTACATACATATGTTATCATGTTCAATAAAAAGTTGGCTTGTATTATCTTTTATCATAACAAACATATCGAAATATTTTCTTCCAATTAGGCAGCTGCCAAGTTAAATCTTTATATAATATATTTCAATTATATATTTAGCTTGATTGTGTAAAGCCAGGTATTACACCAGTTTTAATTTGACTGTTAAGTTTAAATTAAGTTCACAAAATGTAAAGTTGGTTATAGTAAGTTTTTTATAAGCATCGACATTGGTTCCGCTAATACAGGAAATATTTATAAATGGAAGTGGGACAGACTTGATTTTTCGTCACTATCCTGGCAGACCTAAAATTTGCTTTTCTCACCATAATCCAGGCTGGGGTATCTGCATTGTCTGAAAAGGGACCAGTCACCTGGTGTACTATATTGTTGGCTGGCCAGCTTAAAATTTTCACTGTAGCAAAATTATGGACCATTCCAATAATGTATGCTGGACAAGCCCAGCATTTGTTCATTTATGTTTAAGATTTCAGTATTAATAAAGAATAGTAAAAAGTATATTTGATATGATGTACATGTGTGCATTAAAGTGTTTGAATTTTAAAGAAGTATACTTCCAAAATGCTTATAATATTATGAAATAAATATGGTAATTTATTGCCTTAAAAGCAAATGGCGCATGCACAAAATCATTGCTAAATGGATAAAAACCAATTTAAAATAGCAAAAAAATATTTTATTCTGGAACATTTTATTCTGTTTACGTACAATATTCATGTGTATTAAATAACAGAGACATTCTATGTTGCAACTCTTACAGGATTCAACCATATGATAATCATGGAACCAATATTATAAATTTTACTGTTGATAAATTCTATTAAAATATTTCATAAGGTATAGATTTATACCATTTAAATCGCTGAAAACATATTAAATTTATTTGGTAATGAATTTCCTATTAAATGTATGGTTGCTTCCAGTTTTGAGGTATATAAGCAGTAAAGCGTGTACATTAGGAACTGTCTGATCATGAATGATACAGTTGCCCATACAGTTGCCCATTTAATGTAAGCATACAAGTATAAGTGTCTTGTGAACAAACGATGGACAGTTTTAAATTCAAAGGCAGACTGGTCCATTAAACAAATTCAGCAAGGTGAGAGAGGGGGTTAACAAACCTGGAGGATGTGTTATTTGATTGCTGTGATATAATAGACCGGTTGTTAGGAGCTTTTGTTATGTCTGCATCTATATTATCCCTTAAAACAAAGTGTTGGACAGTTTCCATCAGAGTTAACAAGACAGAGTTACTATATGAAACTATTAAGTCAGGTCTAATTGGCAATTATTCAGACTGGCTTTACATCTGATTGAATGAAATATGGGAATAACTTCGTATGATTTAAAAGGATGTGAGAAATGTATGCCTGTGAAAGAAGGGGTTCATGGCGTTCATTACTGGATTAATGTCAATTCTCCGTTCAGTGAAAATAAAGGTAGTTTTGTTTTTAGGCAAGACAGTTATACAAATTTTTCATTGTACCAACGCAAGGCAAAGACTTGTTTCTCTCCCCATAATTCTGTTTAGTGAAAATAAAGGTAGTTTTGTTTCAAGGAACGATGATAATACACATAATTATACATGTATATAATATTATTTACAAATTTTTCTTTGTGCAAACAAGTCGGCATGGCCGAGTGGTTAACAAGTTAGAATACTAATCTGAGGATAGCTATCCATATGGGTTCAAACCCCGTTGTATTTTTGAACAAGAAACTTCATATCATTACTCGGTACTGGTTGGTTCCAGAAACGGATACGAAAGTGCATCTATTAGCTTAAAACTTCTTACACAATTGAACTAAAACAAAGTATACACCAAACATTAGGGAAAAACTCATTTCTCCTGCAATTCTAGGGCCTTTTGGTGACAGGGCTTAAAATTATTGACTGTTGAATTCAATTAAAATTCCATTTGTCTGTGATATACTATTTAGCTTTTTCACAAAACAAGAATACTTTAAATTGAGGGCAAAACTGCTGTAACATTATGAAATAAAGAAGGGATTACAACAGTTTTGTGATCAGCCCTCGTTTATGTATGATTTACAGTAAAAGAAAAGTTTTGTAGTTAGTGATTGACACTGTGATTGTTGAAGTAAATCAGTATTTCCTATCAAATACACAGGTATATATAGGTATATATAGGTATATGTGTGAGTGTGTGTTCAGTAGGTCAGATATATTTTAGAAGCTTCTGCATTTCATCTGCAAAGTTCATACAGTGTTGGCAAAACACATTCTACTGTATATATCGTTTGATTCTTGGTTTGCATTTTAAAGATATTGAATATTGTATAAGATAGTGAATTTATAGCAAAATCAATTAAAAAGATTAAGATCTCTTGATAGTTTTATCTATTTACCTTGGCTGGTTATGAAATGTTAACTGTGAAAAAGAGAATACATGTAGTCAGGGCTTCCGTTAATGGAAGTTTGGGAGTCATTTACTTCTTGATTTTTGCTTGTGTCTTCCAAAATCTAATTCTTTTCCTTCTTACCTATATAATGAGACTTCCAATATCAGAGATTTTGAAGTCTCTGACTTCCAAATTTTGGAACTTAATGGAAGCCCTGTGTAGTTAAAAAAACCAATTTACTGTTTCAATTCACAGAAAACAATATGATTGTAATTTGTATGGTAATATTGAACTGGGACTGTGTAATTTTTTCGTAAAGGTTTTTTCGTAAGTTTTCGAAAGAAGTTAACAAGTTTACTCATTGGCTTTAAATGATAGAACTGTTCTTCTCAAGGCTATTGTTACACTATAAGTTTTAAGCTATACAAGTCATGTATCGTGATGCCATAGTTTGAAATCTTTAAGATTTACTTTGGATTCAGATTAATTAACGACTAAAGGTCATTGAATATTCAAATGTATCGGGGTCATTATTGCCAAACAATATTACCCATATATCATAACAAGAAATTTAAGCTTAAGTTAACAGAAATAACACATGTATAGTACGGGTTGCAATGTACCTATGTCTTTTTAAAAAAAAAATTGTTTTTCAAAAATTTTTTCAAAATGGTAATTGATAAATCAACTGATGCTCTAAGACAACCAACTGGGAGGTTTTTTTTCGCCATAAGTGGCAAAATTAAACTGAACATGCTTCATTATAAAATTAATGGTTACAAATGTACTGTAAGAAACTTTGAAATATCATGTAAAACAAGCAGGTTGTGGAAATTTTATACACATTCAAGTTGCTGACAAATAAATGTTATTAATATTATAACTGATATAATGTATAATTATATAATATCTGAATCTTTAAAATATTCAGAATTCATAGCGTCAATTATAAATTATTAATTATATTAAGCAGAGTATATAAATTTGTAATGATTTTGAAATTGAAAATGAGTTCATATGCTGCTGTTGTATTTTTCAGGGTCGTCGACGTTGAACAATAAAAAGAGGAATCGTGGGATTCTTAGCTCATTTCTGTGTTGCTTTGGCAACAAGAACAATAACTCTTCAAGTGCCTATCAAGCCCCGAATGCTGAAGTAAATGGCAATCCGCGGGATATCTCATATGTAAATATTTTCTTGTGATTAACATTTTAACCAATGAAAACTGTACATTTACTAGCAAAAGTATAGTTCTTTAGTGAAAAAATCTCCTTTGGTCATTTAATATGGGTTATAATAAAAATTTCAAAATGCCAAATTTATTTAGATCTCTTTTTCATCAATTGTTGGTCTGTGGACCTGTTTCACTCACTTTACATTTCAATTTGTATATAAAAGTCATATATTTGCCCTTTGCAAATGTGGGCTAGGTTCTTGCAATGTTTAAATCTCTCAATTGACAGTTTATAACATCAAGAGATGAAGGGTACAGAAAAAATGCATGGGCACAATAGGGGCTTCTTTCAGCAATACCCATTTGAGTGTCAACAAAAGTTTCACCTTATACAAATTTGTTTGACTCTTTAGGAAAAACTGACCCTCCAGTATTAACTGATTCTCATAATTTTGTTATAATTCATATGCAAGTCCAATAAACAGATATCATTTGGGTCAATTTATTCTAAGTTTAATTTAGAGTGTACATGTGTGTGCAAAATACTTGTTCAAAATTTTAACTGTGTTAATGTGTTGTTAATTAAGTTTCATACACTTTGTATCCGTATTTTAATGGCCCCAGCATTTCTTTAATGTCCAGTGTTACATTTATCATGTTTACTTTTGTTGTTGTTTTTATTTCAGTGTTTAATTGTTACGATTAACAATGTAACATGTTAGCTTTATTAGGTTGACTATTCGATAAGAATAAGAACTATCCTAGTCACCTGAGCGTCAGCGTAACCATTTATGTTAAAGTTTTTGTAGCACCTCAAATATTTTCAAAATCAATTGACATATGGCATTGAAACTTTGCACACTTGTTCAACATCATGACCCCAACATGTAGACAGGTGACGGTAACTCTATCAAGCATTTTAACAGAATAATGCCCCTTTTTCTACTTAGAATTTACATTAAAGTTTGCATACCATTTCAGATATTTCATATTCCATTGACATCTGGCTTTGAAACAAGTTGAAATTTTATACACTTCTTTGAGAGCATAATAGGACTCTCTTCAAGGCCTATAACTGTAACATGGATTAAAAGAAAAATTTAGCCCTACAATATAACATGTTAGATTTATTATATTTCAGAGTCCCAATGAGAAATATTTACTACCAGCAGTAAGACCGCAGGACTCCAACAAGAAATGTGTTGTTATAGATTTAGATGAAACCCTTGTACATAGTTCATTTAAGGTAAGCTTATTTGAGGTTAACTATGATTTATGGCTGAATTTAAAGTTAATTTAAGGTGAAAGCTGACTGAATTTACCTATAATCTAAAGCTCATTTTATGGTAAGCTATGATTTTTGGCTGAATATAATTATGGTTACCTGTGATCTAAAACTCATTTTATAATAAGCTATTATTTATGAGTTCATTTAAAGCGAAGCTATGGTCTTATTGTAGAATGAAAAGCACTCTTTGATTAATTGCATAATTTATGGTTAGTTATGATTTATATATATTTTTTGGGGGTAAGTTACAAATAAAAGATAAATTTATAATAAGTTATAATCAGAAGTTGCATTGATAGGAAGCTTTGATCAATAATTGATTATGTTAAGCCTATGATTAATGGTTTGTTTATTTATAGCTTAAAATAATTTTATGGTCTACAAGCTATTTTAACTTTTATTATCGTAAAGATGCATTATTCATTTGACTGCCTTTTGCAGCTATTTTTGGGGAAAGGCCCATATTTGAATTGTGGAAAAATATTCAGAAATTGAAATATTGTAAAAAAAGTTCAAAATCTACCTTTAACATGGCATTTTAAGGTGTTTTTCCCTGTGATGATCATGTCACCTGTCACTTCTTTTAAGAAACAAGTCAAAACAGTTGAATTTTTTCTTAGAAGTTAAAACAGTTTGATATATTAGGCAGTGATTGTTTTGTTTATTACGAAACTGGGAAAGCCGTTGTTTCCTTGAGTAAGAAACTTTACACTCATTGCTCAGTACTGGTTTGTTCAAAAACAAATTCAAGAGTGTGTCAAAAACAAATTCAAGAGTGTGTCTATAGTAAACGCAAACTTAAATAAGTTCAGTATAAACCATACCGGTAGTTATAAATTTCAAGTTCACTTAAACTAGACTAAGACTAACTCAAAAATACAAGTTTCAATATATTTCTGGGTATATTTCTTAATAATCTTTTGCAAATCTGATTTAATCCATTATGATCAGGGCATGGTTGATCAAAGCTGTGATGAATTTTAGAACTTAAATATACATAAAAGCTATGATGTATCATTAAATATATTACATTTAAAATTTGCTGAATTTAGAAACTAAATAAACATGTAAACATCAAATAAGCATAGAATGTTATGGACTGTGAAATCTGCAGTGTTCACCCTTTGATGGTGACGGATTATTTTGGTGACAGATTTACGATGTAATAAATATTTCGCCAAATACACTGACGAGATCTACATTGATATGTTTTTCATCTTTTGTGTAAAAACTGTACAGTTCTTGTCATATTATTACACATATGCTGTATAAACTTATGTATATTACATCAATATCGATGTTACACATTTTCATTTATACAGTACTCCCCTTGTGGCTGAGGGGTTGCCTTGACAAGTTGAGGCATCAGAATTGCAGCCTCTGTTTAACTGCATAATAAATCGGTCATTTCTGGAATTTCTTTTCCAAAATCTTCAATATCCTATAATATTTGACCGTTTATAACCAGAATTTAGTATAAGTGAATGTAAATAATCTAATGTCCAAGATTTTTAAAAAAAATTACATTCTGGAAATAACGATAACCAATATATTACAATGTTGGCCGATATTAGAATATTTTGCAGGGAAAACTTTACAATAAGACTACCTTAATACTGTACAATGTAGTACTAATTGTGAAGAGGTTGGTACTCAACTGAAGAGAGGTTTCACTTTTTTCTGTCACAATCACATAGTAATGAACAATTTTTACTTTATTTTTTATTTCAGCCAATTAGTAATGCAGAATTTTACTTTATTTTTCATTTCAGCCAATTAGTAATGTATAATTCTACTTTTTAGTCCCCTACCGGTTTACCGGAGGGGACTTTAGGTTTACCCTCCGTCCGTCTGTCCGTCTGTCCGTCCGTCTGTCCGTCTGTCCGTCCGTCTGTCTGTCAGTCCGTCAGTCCGTCCGTCCACAAAACTGGATCCCGCGATAACTTGAAAAGTACTGAAAATACTTTTATGAAACTTGGTATATGGATAGATGGCAGTATGGAGATTATGCACGTCTTTTTCTTTTCTTCCTATGTTGAAAATTCTGGTTGCTATGGCAACAAATAGGCTAAAATATGGCAAATTTTACACATAAACTGGATCCAGTGATAACGCAAAAAGTACTGGAAATATTTTTATGAAACTTGACATATGGGTAGATGGCAGTCTTGGAATTATGCACGTCTTTTTCTTTTCTTCCTATGTTGAAAATTCTGGTTGCTATGGCAACAAATAGGCTGAAAATATGGCAAATTTTATACATAAACTGGATCCAGTGATAAAGCAAAAAGTACTGGAAATATTTTTATGAAACTTGACATATGGGTAGATGGCAGTCTTGAGATTATGCACGTCTTTTTTATTTTCTTCCTATGTTGAAAATTCTGGTTGCTATGGCAACACATATACTGAAAATATGGCAAATTTTACACATAAACTGAATCCAGTGATAACTCAAAAAGTACTGGAAATATTTTTATGAAACTTGACATATGGGTAGATGGCAGTCTTGATATTATGCATGTCTTATATGTTCTTCCTATTTTGAAAAATATCAGTTGCCTTGGCAACAAATAGGCTTAAAAGATGGCAAATATAACAATATTTGTGATAAGTCAAAAAGAGCTGAAAATTTTTATGAAATTGCATCTTTAAGTCAAGAGTTATCTCCTATTTAAGAATTTTGCTTTTAAAATGTTATATTTTGGTAACAGGGATATTTCAAATATTAACTTTAGAGTGTCCTTCAGTCCGTCTGTCTGTCTGTTCATAAAAACTGTTTCCTGTGATCACTTTTAAAGAACTTTTCCAACAAGTTTACTTAAAATAGAGAAAAATTGAAACATAAGTGAATGGCCAATGGCCCTTCAGAATGTTGATGGGGTTCTAACCGGTAGGGGACTTATGGATTGCTTGCAATACTATGATAATTGCTTGTTATTTTTTATTTCAGCCAATTAGTAATGCAGATTTTATTGTACCGGTAGAGATAGATGGAACTGTTCATCAGGTTTATGTACTAAAAAGGCCATTTGTAGACGAATTCCTTAAAAAAATGGGAGAGTTGTTTGAATGTGTGCTCTTTACTGCTAGTCTTGCGAAGGTACGAGAAATTTTCTTACTAAATTTATTATGCTCTTGTGTTTGAATACAATGTTGGGGACTTTGGTTCCTTTCATGGGAGGGGGGTGGCTGGGAATTTTCAAGCTAGATTTATATGGCAGGTTGGTGGTTTTACTGATCGGGTGCACAAAATATATATCACTTAATGCAATTTATTGCTGGATGCAGAACTTCAACAATGCGTGAGCTATTTATGAACCCCAGTGTCGCAAAAAAAACAGGAAAGGAAAATATCTGTTATCTTAAGGTTGTTGATAAATAGTATTTAGTGTTAAACACATGATCGACAACTGTGTGTGTATATATGTGTTAATATACAGATAAAATTTGACAGAGGTTGTTAATCTTGTATACAGTGTATATTGAAGGTAAAAGGTCTTGTGTCCAAAAATGGGATTAAAAATAGTTCATGAATTAATTGCCTGCTTTTAAGTGACACCATTATATATGGGGACAAAAGTAAAAATTTTCCTTCTTCCTTAATGATGATATTAATTATAGAGATTCTTTATAATACAGATAGCTGGTTTGGTTTAAACATATTTATTTAAAAGCCATTGCGAAACAAGTTCTTGCAAATTATATTAACCACATTCGAGTCCGTTTACTGGAACCAACCAGTACTGGTGTCATATGAAGAAACATGGGCGAGACCCAAGTAGGGCTCGAACCTATGATCTCTGGTTTGAAAGGCAGACACCTTAACCACTAGGCCACAATACAGATGAATTGCATATTAATGAAGATTTAATAACTAAATCTGTAGTTTATTTTATTGTGATTTTATTGTGTTGATGTACAAAGTATTTTTCTCCAATTTTTAGCTCACCTGTCACAAAGTGACAGGGTGAGCTTTTGTGATCGCTTTTCGTCCGGCGTCCGTCCGTCCGTCCGTCCGTCGTCCGTCCGTAAACTTTTACTTTAAATGACATCTCCTCATAAACCACTAAGCCAATTTCATCCAAACTTCACAGGAATGATCCTTTGGTGGTCACCTTTAAAAATTGTTCAAAGAATTTAATTCCATGCAGAACTCTGGTTGCCATGGCAACTGAAAGAAAAAACTTTAAATATCTTCTTTTAAAAAACCATAAGAGCTAGAGCTTAGATATTTGGCATGAAACATCTTCTAGTGAGTGTCTACCAAATTTGTTCAAAAATAAAAGCCCTGGGGTCAAAATTGGCCCCGCCCCGGGGGTCATTGATTTTCCCTATATGCATATAGTAAAAACTTAAAAAGCTTCTTTTAAATAACCCAAAGAGCTAGAGCTAAGATATTAAGCATGAAACATGTTCTTATGGTGTCCTACCAAGTTTGTTCAAATAAAAGCCCTGGGGTCAAAATTGGTCCCGCCCGGGGGGGGGGGGGTCATTGATTTTCCCTATATGCATACAGTAAAACTTAAAAAATCTTCTTTTAAAGAACCCAAAGAGCTAGAGCTAAGATATTTAGCATGAAACATGTTCTAATGGGTGTCTACCAAGTTTGTTCAAATAAAAGCCCTGGGGTCAAAAATTGGCCCCGCCCCGGGGGTCATTGATTTTCCTTATATGCATATAGTAAAAACTTAAAAATCTTCTTTTAAAGACTCAAAGAGCTATGGCTAAGATATTGAGCATCAAACATGTTCTAAAAGGTGTCTACTAAGTTTGTTCAAATAAAAGCCCTGGGTCAAAATTGGCCCCGCCCCAGGGGGTCATTGATTTTCCCTATATGCATATAGTAAAAACTTAAAAAATCTTCTTTTAAAGAACCAAAGAGTTAGAGCTAAGATATTTAGCATGAAACATGTTCTAATAAGTGTCTACCAAGTTTGTTCAAATAAAAGCCCTGGGGTCAAAATTGGCCCCGCCCCAGGGGGTCATTGATTTTCCCAAGATGCATATAGTAAAAACTTAAAAAATCTTCTATTAAAGAACTCAAAGAGCTATGGCTAAGATATTTAGCATCAAACATGTTCTAATAGGTGTCTACCAAGTTTGTTCAAATAAAAGCCCTGGGTCAAAATTGGCACCACACCCGGGGGTCATAGATTTTCCTTATATGTGTATAGCAAAAACTTAAAAAAATCTCTTTGAAAAAACCCAAATAGCTAGAGTTAAGATATTAAGCATGAAACATCTTTTAGTGAGTGTCTACAAAGTTTGTTCAAATAAAAGACCTGGGGTCAAAATTGGCCCCGCCCTGGGGGTCATTGATTTTCTTTATATGTGTATAGCAAAATCTTAAAATCTTCTTTGAAAAAACCCAAATAGCTAGAGTTTAGATATTAAGCATGAAACATCTTCTTGTAAGTGTCTACAAAGTTTGTTCAATAAAAGCCCTGGGGTCAAAACTGGCCCGGCCCAGGGGTGTCATTGTTTTTTAACTATATGTGTATAGTAAAAACTTGAAAAAAAATCTTCTTTTAAAAAGGCCAATGAAGCTAGAGCTTAGATGTTTAGCATGAAACATCTTATGGGTGTCTACCAAGTTTGTGCAAATAAAAGCCCTTGGGTTAAATTGGCCCTGCAACGTTGGGGGGGGGGGGGGGGGGGGGGCGACCTCAGGGCCATCATGGCCCTCTTGTTTCATACTACCTATCACTTGTTTCCATTGCTGAAAGGTTGTCCCACTCAAAATGATTGTCTTTATTTCCCCTTCCCCTCCCCCCCCTCCCCCCCCCCAAGCCTTAACCTCAATAATGCTGATTATATACTGAAAGTAAAGGTACAGTGGTACTTAGAATACTGTAAGTTGATGTAGGTAATGTATGGAATGCATCGTGCATACTTCATAAATAACTTATTTGCTATGACTTGATAAAGGTTAAATACCAATCTGTCTAGGGTAAATATTTTGTAAAATAGCTAAGATGTCAATGTTTTCCTCCCTTTTAATGTAAACTTTAAATGTAGCCTCTTTAAATATTTAATCCTCGCATGATGCAATCTTAAAAAGGGATTAAACTCCTTAAGATTGACCGTTCCAAATGCCTTTCCCTCTTGGATTAGCCTACGGGATAAATTTTGATATTGCACTGTTGTGTAAGTTGTAATAGTTGACGTGTTTGATATATTCACAAATATCTACAACATGTTATATGTAATGACATCGTTTCCTGATTAACACTGATAAATACCACCAAACGTTATAACTACTGCACATGCATAAAAACATTGAGCTGTATAGGTGCATGCATGAAAACAGCTTTTGTGTGAGAATCACCACATGTTGTGCAGATTTACAGTTTGTTTTACCTTTTACTATTATCGATCTGTGTAGTATGTTTTACTTTAACATAAACATACCATTGGGAAGTTATAATGGCTTTAAAAACCTTGGTGTAAAGGTTCAGTTGATCAATGCTGTAATAAAATATGAGCCGCGTCATGACAAAACAAACATAGTGCGTTTGCGACCAGCATGGATCCAGACCAGCCTGCGCATCTGCGCAGTCTGATCAGGATCCATGCTGTTCGCTATCAGTTTCTCTACTTGTAATAGGGTTTGTAAGCAGGCTGGTCTGGATCCATGCTGGTTGCAAACCCATTATGTTGTTTTTGTCATGACGTGGCTCAAATGTATTTCTACTGATCAGACCCATAACAGTGGATTACGATTGCTTTATGCTTTAAAGTTATTACATACATATATATAATCCAGGTGTTTTTGCACTACTTGATCTTTCATTGTTTAGAATGTTTTAAGAGCATTAATCATGATACCTTAGAAAAGAAAACACCTCCCTGCCAGAAATTATAAATACCTGTTTTATTCCTTACATTTGTATGCACCTATGGTATGGATTTTTCATTTATAATTTAAGCCTGCCTTTTCCCCTGGCCACAACTAATCTCTCTAACCCAAATTGCCTTTTATGAGTTTTGCCTACCAATGCCTTATACTGTAACCAAAATGATTTTTGTTATATAATAAAGTTCCTTCTACCTCTTATATAAGAATTTTCCAAGTGCATATACACTTAAAGGGAATTGACCTATAATGTTCTTAAAGGGAATTGCTCTATAATGGAAGGCCTGAAATACTATAAGTACTTATCAATATTGATAGTATCTAGTATTAGACATAACAACAAACTTCGATAGAATTATATATGAATATTTTTGGCAAGTGTGAATTCTATACATGATCTGATATTACATATATTCATTTAGCAGATAATAAAATTGTTCTAAAACAGAATGCATGTATTATTCTTCATTTTTTAAATGTACATACAAAATCACTAAGATCTTTATCAACAGTTTGATTTTTATTCAAAGAAATATCCAAAGATACCTTTCTATTGTTTTTATCAATATTTGAATTATTTTTATCAATATTGGAATATTTGGAAAATTTGCCGATCGTAGACCAATCCACTTTAAATGGCAAATATGCCTTTGTAGACCAATCCACTTTAAAATGAATTCACTTGTATTTCATACTTCTTTTCAAATGAATTTTCTTTTATAATTTATATCTCATTTTTGCTACACAGTATGCTGACCCAGTGGCGGACCTGTTGGACAAGTGGGGAGTTTTTAGGGCGCGTTTATTCAGGGAATCATGTGTCTTTCATAGGGGTAACTATGTCAAAGTAAGTATAGTTATTACATAGATTTGACACTTGGAAACTGATTATTAAACAAGCTGATAAATATTAAGCTGCAACTGTTGTAGCCATACATAAATTAAAACAAGACGCTCCTTGAAGGGCGTTTCGCAGCTCTCCATTCTCCATTCGAGCCAAGTCTAACAAAGCTTGTCCATAACAGAAGTAGGCATCTGCACATTTTGTTATCTTTAATAAGTAATTGATTGATTGATTGGTTGATTGATGAATAAACAGATTGATGGATGGATCTTTGAATGATTGTGTGATTGATTGATTGATTGATTGATCATAAACATGATAAACTGCATAATATTACATGTATATGAAAGGACTGAGTAGAAAAGACTTTGTTTTATAGCTTATCTACGAGGGTTTATATTTATCGCTATTTTATTACTTTATATACATTTTTAGTATTTGAGAATGTTGTGTTTTACATATATGACATCTGTTTGTTAAGGTACTTGTCAAAGAATGTTTTGTAATTTTAACAGTTGTCCTTCATAGAGAGGCAAAATATGTACATGTACATACAAATATATATAGAATGTTTAAAACTAGCTAAGATGAAGTATGGAGGCTATATTTGAATATTGGAATGTTTTTCGATAGAATTTTTAATGCAATGGTAAATCAGTGATATAAACTCTAACCATGCAGGAAGCAACTGAATCTTCCCCTGCTACCAGTGCAGACCAATATTGGCAAACACATAACGTCTGCGCTATTATCTATTTTAGTCTTATTCAGATTTACGTTGAATTTTTTTTTATTCTGTCCAGATTGAAAGATAGACAAGTCCATTTAAGATATTTAGCAGGGAAATGGTTTAGATGAAAATGGAAAGGTTATTTTGAATGTTATAACAGAATTTTGAAGGCAATGTATTGTTTAATCATGGTCTGCACTTATTGCTATTCAGTCAGTACATATTTTGACATTTTCCCATAAAAGGATGAATGTATTTGTCCGGATTTAAAAAAGTGACAATATTGAGTGTGGTAATGGTCCAATTATTTGGTTTATTTGAATCACATTAACTAATTAAGAATAACTAATGAAGATAATTCTAGCACACACTGACATTGCATCAAAACATATCTATGATACAGTCAAACCTTGTTTTGCTCGAACTCGGAGGGTTCAGGCAAAACTGTTTCGAGAAATCGGTAGTTCACTGTAATTAAAATGTTTACAACATAATCATGAATCAGAAAGAAAATCAGAATAAAGTCAGAATACATGTGTAGAGCTCTATATATTTATTATGTTATAACGGATGTATATGTTAATTTCATTTTTTCAGGACTTAAGTCGACTTGGACGTGATCTAGGTCAGGTGATAATTATAGATAACTAATTTATATGTTTATTACATTATTTTCAGGACTTAAGTCGACTTGGGCGTGATCTAAGTCAGGTGATAATTATAGATAACTGATATATATGATTATTACATATTTTCAGGACTTAAGTCAACTTGGACGTGATCTAAGTCAGGTGATAATTATAGATAACTGATATATATGTTTATTACATTATTTTCAGGACTTAAGTCGACTTGGGAGTGATCTAAGTCAGGTGATAATTATAGATAACTGATATATATGTTTATTACATTATTTTCAGGACTTAAGTCGACTTGGGCGTGATCTAAGTCAGGTGATTATTATAGATAACTGATATATATGATTATTACATATTTTCAGGACTTAAGTCGACTTGGGCGTGATCTAAGTCAGGTGATAATTATAGATAACTGATATATATGATTATTACATATTTTCAGGACTTAAGTCGACTTGGGCGTGATCTAAGTCAGGTGATAATTATAGATAACTGATATATATGATTATTACATATTTTCAGGACTTAAGTTGACTTGGACGTGATCTAAGTCAGGTGATAATTATAGATAACTGATATATATGATTATTACATATTTTCAGGACTTAAGTCGACTTGGACGTGATCTAAGTCAGGTGATAATTATAGATAACTGATATATATGATTATTACATATTTTCAGGACTTAAGTCGACTTGGACGTGATCTAAGTCAGGTGATAATTATAGATAACTGATATATATATGATAATTACATATTTTCAGGACTTAAGTCGACTTGGAAGTGATCTAAGTCAGGTGATAATTATAGATAACTGATATATATGATTATTACATTATTTTCAGGACTTAAGTCGACTTGGACGTGATCTAAGTCAGGTGATAATTATAGATAACTGATATATATGATTATTACATATTTTCAGGACTTAAGTCGACTTGGACGTGATCTAAGTCAGGTGATTATTATAGATAACTGATATATATGTTTATTACATTATTTTCAGGACTTAAGTCGACTTGGACGTGATCTAAGTCAGGTGATAATTATAGATAACTGATATATATGATTATTACATATTTTCAGGACTTAAGTCGACTTGGACGTGATCTAAGTCAGGTGATAATTATAGATAACTGATATATATGTTTATTACATATTTTCAGGACTTAAGTTGACTTGGACATGATCTAAGTCAGGTGATTATTATAGATAACTGATATATATGTTTATTACATATTTTCAGGACTTAAGTCGACTTGGACGTGATCTAAGTCAGGTGATTATTATAGATAACTGATATATATGTTTATTACATTATTTTCAGGACTTAAGTCGACTTGGACGTGATCTTAGTCAGGTGATTATTATAGATAACTGATATATATGTTTATTACATATTTTCAGGACTTAAGTCGACTTGGACGTGATCTAAGTCAGGTGATTATTATAGATAACTGATATATATGTTTATTACATTATTTTCAGGACTTAAGGTAGAACGCGACACTTTGCGAACTTTAGAGTAGCGTCTTGAAAATTGGCATGCAAAAAATTGACCATATTTCTGATTGGATTTCGTTGATTTTATTTCAATAGTTTCAGCCAATTTTTGTACACATGACGTCAAAGTTGACCATCAAAGCCCGTTTTTGAACATGACGTCGTTGCGTATCCTTGGCAACTGTTACGGGTATTTTAACGCCATTGGCGGACAAAATATCTTAAATCCTACAGCATTCGACGGAAATTATTTTTTCCTTTAAGCAGATATAAAATTTATTGTTTTACGCCGAAAATTGTTTGAGAAATGGAAAGAAAATTGTCAATTTTGTGTAAAATTTGACGTTCAGTTTAGCCGCAATTTTCGGCTTTAAAGCGGCTTATTAAAAAATTCCTGAAATAAATTTTTGATTTTTTTCTTTAAGCGTCCTTTAAAATGTATATTTAGTCAAAATATCTAAACAAATTAGGGGGTCACCGACTCAATTTTTTCGGTACACATGATTTTATTTCCCCCACCCCTTTGGAAAAAAGTCACGCTATCACGGGGCGTTTGGTTTTTTGATGTTATTAAAACGATCGCCCTGTGTCAAAATCCCGCTTTTTACGGCATTTTACGCTATTATGACCACTGCGGAAAATATTTGGATACAATAAAGGACACGGAATTCCGTATATTATAGATAGACAGGTAAAAATAAGTGAAATTTGATGTACGGGACCGTATATCATGCATATGTATACGACTAATATACCGTGATCCGTACACTCGTAATATGCGGGAACTTTGAATGAAGTTCATATTTACTACGTATTTTTTTTTAATTACACGATCAGATATTACCAAAATATGTTTTTTTTTATTCTTGTAAATACAGATTTTGTATATAAAACAGTGAATAAAGATGTACTTCAGAATTACCCACTTTCTACAAGAGGAAAGAAATAATAGTCTGATCTGACATTTGTCAGAATAACATTAAATAGTAAAACTTTGAGTAAAATGTAATATTTAACATGTATAAAACATGTGTTTTATTAACATGTCAGTTGCATACTGATTAAATAGTTAGTGAAACATCGACAGATCCTCTACAGTGCCCATAGCTTGTACAGACAAAAAAATGACAATATATATTGAAATATCTTTATTTTGTATAAAGATTTACAACGCAACACTCCTTTGTGCAGTCAGTATCTAGCTCAGGGCCGCCGGTTTGCTAAAATCCGCAAACCTGTATTTACAGCGTTTCATTATATTTCATGTTTAAAGTACTGTTTCTAAATTTTCCTGTTCAAAATAAATTCTACCATAAATTTTGCTACACAGTGAATAATGAATATTTGCAAAGGCCGATTTGATAGTAATGTTTTTAATACAGCGTTTATGGCGAATCCTCAATTAATCATTATTTCTAACATTATGATATTCTAAAATGATAAGCAAAACGAGAGAATATGTATTACAGATACTTGTAGAATCGAACGTGCTACATCTGTAATCCAACACCCACTGAGCTAACGTTTCAAGCATGACTGTTTGCTTCACGCTAATATAATTGACTTAGTTTCATTTATGAACCGTATATTTTAATTTGTCAATATTTCGCCAATTCTGTCAAATTGTTGCAATAGTTTTTGATTACAAGTGAGATTCAAATTCTGGTTTTTAATAGGTGAAATAAAATACATATCACTCACAGTATATCACTCATAGTGTGGGTAATGCAAAATGTATAGATTTGCAGAATTTCTTGTAGACTACGTATTAATTTATGATTGAATTTCCGTAAATTTCTAAATTTACATAAAAATATATAGTTGCTTTTTGTTCCTTAAGGCATATTTCTCGATTCAAGTTTATTAATCTTATTGTATTACAATATCAAAAAGGAACACCGCAAATGTTTACTCTCAGCTGTATTTATTTTTGTTTGCGCAGCGTACGCGTTGCCGTTGAACGCCTGACGTCATTTTCTTTACATGCGTCTGTTTACAATTCCTTATGAAGTTATTAATCATGCTTAAAAACAAGAAAAAAAATCGTTTGTTTTTCGTACAATTTTAAGTATTTGCAATGGAACATTGCTGTAGTTGTTTTATATGTATTAGTAAAACTCTAGAACAATTCTCCTGATAAGCTGAACATTGTTGCCGCACTTTGAAGTCTCAAACGTATCTGCATACGTCGAATTTCGTTACAAAATTACTCACGTGTGGGGGAAATAAAATCACGTGTACCGAAAAAATTGAGTCGGTGACCCCCTAATTTTTTTTGTTATTTTGACTAAATATACATCTTAAAGGACGTTTAAAGAAAAAAATCAAAAATTTATTTCAGGAATTTTTTAATAAGCCGCTTTATAGCCGAAAATTGCGGCTAAACTGAACGTCAAATTTTACACAAAATTGACAATTTTCTTTCCATTTCTCAAACAATTTTCGGCGTAAAACAATAAATTTTATATCTGCTTAAAGGAAAAAATAATTTCCGTCGAATGTTGTAGAATTTAAGATATTTTGTCCGCCAATGGCGTTGAAATACCCGTAACAGTTGCCAAGGATACGCAACGACGTCATGTTCAAAAACGGGCTTTGATGGTCAACTTTGACGTCATGTGTACAAAAATTGGCTGAAACTATTGAAATAAAATCAACGAAATCCAATCAGAAATATGGTCAATTTTTTGCATGCCAATTTTCAAGATGCTACTCGAAAGTTCGCAAAGTGTCGCGTTCTACCTTAAGTCGACTTGGACGTGACCTAAGTCAGGTGATAATTATAGATAACTGATATATATGTTTATTACATTATTTTCAGGACTTAAGTCGACTTGGGCGTGATCTAAGTCAGGTGATAATTATAGATAACTGATATATATGATTATTACATATTTTCAGGACTTAAGTCGACTTGGACGTGATCTTAGTCAGGTGATAATTATAGATAACTGATATATATGTTTATTACATTATTTTCAGGACTTAAGTCGACTTGGGCGTGATCTAAGTCAGGTGATAATTATAGATAACTGATATATATGTTTATTACATATTTTCAGGACTTAAGTCGACTTGGACGTGATCTAAGTCAGGTGATAATTATAGATAACTGATATATATGTTTATTACATTTTTTCAGGACTTAAGTCGACTTGGGCGTGATCTAAGTCAGGTGATAATTATAGATAACTCGCCAGCTTCCTATATCTTCCATCCTGATAATGCAGTAAGTATTCCTGCTATTTTTAGAAGCATTACTTTTGGGTTTATCTTCTTGAATGTAAACGGGAACAGGATCCCACCTCAGTCTTCGGATTCTATCCAGCTAGCTTACTAATGATTGGTGGTCTACTCAACTGCTTGCTTGTGCCTGAAATAATGCACAGCAGGTAACGTGGTGTGTTAGTTTAAACATAGTTATTTAAGCTTGATTGCGAAACTTATATTAATCACTTTCGAGTCCGCTTCCTGGAAACAATCCATACTGGTGTCCTATCATAAAGAAACATGGTCGTATTTACCTCTCATTTTAGCATCAAACTTTTCATTTCTAGCATTGCACTCCTCATTTTTCTTTCGAGAAAGGTTGTTTTTATTGTGAAATTGTACTACCTTTGGTACAATCATGTACTTCTTATTCTGGCTTTCAAGCGATAATAAACCCTTTTATATAATAATTCTTTTATTTTTACAGGTACCTTGCCAGTCTTGGTTTGATGATATGCAAGATACTGAATTACTAGACCTTATACCATTTTTCGAAGGACTTGCTAAAGTCGATGACGTGTATTCAGTGTTACGAAATACGAACAATACGGATTCTTCCTAGTATTCGCTCCATGTATATTATATATTGTGTAGTGTACGGGTGTATGAAGTCAGTTTTATATTTGAGCAAATATTTCACTGGATGCCAGGACTTCATCGATGAAATATCCCTCGGGGGAAAATTTTTGCAGAAGAAAAAAATATTTACGACTTTTAAAAAGATTTTATTTATGGAGTTAAATCTGTGGTCGGACATTATTGAAATAATGCAAACAATTATAGCATTTTGTTATTTCTTGGCCGAGTTATTTTTGGTTTCTATAAATAGCTTGGAAGAAGTGACGTGTTTTTGTAAATGTTAATCAAGAATAACTATAGTCATAGACTAATAGAGGTGAAGTTATATCAAACCGTATAAATGAAATAATAGGATGAAAATAGGAAAATTGCAGTAATAGTTTACTCCGGGATAAAGAATCCGTATGGAGATATTAATAATGAAGCCTTATGTATAAAGAAGCCCCGTTACAAGTGATCACTGATAACAATAACATGACATTCAACTATGAATCAATTTATGTCGAAAACATTGTAGGTATATGAAAATATGTATAAAGAAAACAGAAGTGACGTCTGCCAAATAGTTAAAAAGGCTGAATTGCATTTGTGTGAGTGTGTAAGTTCTATGTAAAAAAAAATATTGGTTTGCATATGTTAAGCTCCTCAAGGAGAAAAACACGGACTATTGTTAGAGAATACATTCTCAAATGTTGCTTAACAGAAATAGCCTAAATTATTACTGTGTTATCTTTCGCCAGTTTTTGAATAAAGTGACTCTGATTGAGTTCATTTTTTAAGGAAATAAAATTTATTTAAATTAAGAAATATGTTTATATATTTAAAAAAGTAAAATATGAATTTTGAAAATTTAGGTGGATTTTATTCTAGTAAATATTTGATTTTGATGCGAGAAGTTATATTATTCTAGTAAAAAGTTACTAACAAATTATGTAAAATATATTTATTGGTATAGAAGTCTGTAAAATTTTGTGGTTTTTATTGATTTTTTTGCTTTCCATGCAACTGGATATAGAATACGAAAAAGAAAAATAACTCTTGTCTGAATAATATTTGAACCTTACATAGTTACTTCCCATTGTTTTGCTATGAAATAAAATTTACCGATAAAAATATGATACATTCATATTAACATGACGATTTTCATTGTTTTTATTCTAGAATTTTATTTTAAGGCATATTTACTGTTCATTAGTAAATTTCCACGGGGTTTTGATATATATACATAAAAAAATTTATATTTTGAATAATTTACAGTGTAACTTGGTATATGTTGCATTTACATTATTAATATCATTTTAGCTAAAATTTGTACTAGAATTTATAATGTCATTGGAAGCACTTATAACAGCATTGTTCTTTTGTTGAAATATGCGTTTATTTGATCTCTCTTTGTTTTTTTTCATCTAGTTTCACAAAGTAGCTTTTAAAAAGCTTGACAAAAAAAAGTCTTGAGTTACAAATAATTTTTTTGTTTTTTGTTTTTGGGATACCTCATTTAATTAGGACTGTCAAAATCTTAAAGAAGTGATCTATTTTATATGAAAGTATTAAGAACTTGCTTTATGCTGCAATAAAATATAAAATGTCCGATTCTATCGAGTATTTGTAAATTTCATATTTTATACTTTTAAAGCAGAGTTTTAGGGTTTTTTCCTCCAGAAATCAAAAGATTTTATTTGTTCATGTTTTTGTTCTTCCAGAAGATTGGTAAAGGACTTGACAATATTTTTTTTTTAATGAAAATAGTCAATTTTTTTTAACTTAAATGGTAAAAACTCACAATTTATATACCCAGTGTTGCGATGAAATCAATGAAAATGTAATGCCATGGACTACTTTCTGTCCCATTAAGCCCCAGTGCTGTAATTTCATTACTATGTTACATTTTGCCATTGGATTTTCTTTCCTCACAAAGTATTACAATTTTCTTTGTCTTATTCATCTTTTATACTACAGTATTTTTTTTTCTATTTTTTGAATGAAATATTTTGTAATATGTTTTGACTTACGGGCCTATAACATACTACATACAGAATTGAGATAACACCTACAAAAAAATAACATCTAAAACATTATTAAAAAATATTGTAATTTTTGGTTGATTTTAGGATTAAAAGGGGTCTCTATATTGTTTTTGCATTATATTGTCGGCAAATTTCATTTTCTACCTGAATTCTTTAAATTAGACAAATATATGAAACAATTTTATGTAAAAAAACGTATATAGCATTTAGAGAAAGATGGAGGTCGCTTTAACCTAAAAATTACTGCACTGGAGGTAAACATTTGTGGACATAGTACTTCCTGTTGAATAAACTGTACTTTATTTTCTTTCATTATAAACCATGGAGGCTTCATATTTTTATACAAGATCATGTTACATGTATATATGCAAAAATTTAAAAAAGCAAGTTACAATATAGTGTGTAGTCATGTAACCATGTTATAATTATGTTATATACCGATCAATCATGTTATAACTGCTATATACTATGAGACTGGGTTATGTTTTCATGTTATAATTGAGATATAGCACAGTCATGTTTGGTTGTTTATTTTATAATTATTTTTTTATTTTTGTTTTGTTTTTTTCTAACAAATGTTTCAGTCATTAACACGTAATGCATATTTTTTTTCTCATTCGCTTTTTGGATAAACAAATTACACCATTTTTTACAGGGGTGCATTTAGCATTGTTAAATAAAGACCACAGCAGTAACAAAAAAACTCTAATCCATTATGCATAATTGGATGAATTAATAAGTCATGAAATCATAGTTTCTGATCTGTTTCATCTGCGAATGTTCGGAAATTAAAACATTCAATTTTTTAGCTGTGTAAACAGTTAACATGTGACAATGCCCAGGAATTCATTCTTTGTATCACAATCTATTGTTGTCTTTGGAATCACACACTGTGCTTGAAATTGGGACAAATGCCTTGCTCATTTTCTCAAATTCATTAAAGAGTTACAGACCTTGATTATGGTGTAAAGAACAATAACCAGGTACTACTGTTTTGCAACTCAAGAGTTGTGTGCCTTTTTAAAATAATGAATCAAGCGCTTACAACTTTTAAAAAATTCTTGGGGTGAAAAAATGATTTCCAACTTGTGTAAAACATACAAGGATAAGATATTAATTTATCACAGATTAAAGAAAAAGTTTTGTAAAGCATTTAGAAAAAGACAGTTACATTTGTTGTATAGCCTGAATGCTGTTAGTTATAAGGTATGTTAATATTTACCAATTTAAGAGAATATTTTTATGAGCCAAATTCTGTTAAAACACTCATTACTTTCATGGCACATAGGTTGTGATGCTAAATAAAATATCCTCCTATAAGAAGAGTGCTCTCCTTTGGCAAATGTACCCTTTACAATGGAGGGAGGGGTTAATATCGGTGTCAAGGTCAAATGAATCAGATACTAGACTATTGTCCAAAATTCATGATATCACTTGGTGGGAAACAGGTCATCTTTCACATTCTTGACTAGACATTATACCGATGGTGGGCTTAATTTAAAAATTTGAAATTTTTATGCCACCGCAGCACTTTTTTGACAAATGCAATCTTGTTTTTTTTCCTATGTATAATATTGAACTGTTCTAAATTAAAAACAGAACTGATCAGTTATACAAAGTTGGCATAATGATGGTTGAAACTTAATACATAAGAATGTTTTATATAGGACTGGATACTGTGTAACTGTTAATGCTACATTTTTTTAATGCCAAATTGATCCCTTCAAAAAAAATGCAAGGTAAACGTTTCTAAAAATAGTATTTTGTCTATTTTTAGGACACTTAATTAGATGCAAGAAAAGAATTTCTAAAAAAAGTCTAGTTTGGTTATTTTTAGCATGCATTTGAATTATTTTTTTTTGTGATTCATAAATTCATTGCGCTAGTTGTTATTTGAGAGTCATTGATACTTGAATGCTGTGTTACAAAAGGGTAGTGTTTTGCTTGTCAACCGTACATAATCAGAGGTTCTGTATTTTATAAAACAAATAATTGCGTGCCTTTGTTTTTTGTATAACTGTACTTTTTTTAATGAGAGAGAAGTTTTAAACATTTTCATCTGCTATTATGAAATAGAGTTTGTTTGATTGACAGTGTATGAAATAGTCGTAGATGTTTTCTAAGAAATATTGAGAGTATGTAGGTGATTTTAACATTTTTTAACATGTTTCAAACATAAATTTGTGACACATTTTGTTCAGCTGAATTGTTAAGTTCTTTTATTTTATCCAAATTTAAGTTTTCTGTTCCATCTCCTCAAAAAAGTAGTCCTTCATTTGTTCCTATTAAGTTTTATTTTTTATGCTTTTGTATCAATTAATATTAAATTTGCTTTTTTATTAATTATCAGTATTTTGCATTAAGAAACATGAGGCATTTTAATATAAATAATTAAGCAGATGTGAATTATCCTTCATCAAGAGTTGTAGAAATTGAAATTAAGTGAGTTTTTTTAATGATCATTCTTTCTAAGAAGTGGCAGTTACAATCAGAGGGCATTAACTCCATTTGCATTGTATATAGTTGAAAGACAGAGGACCTGCTTTGATTGAGCAGAGTAATTTGCACCATTTACACCTTAATCTAATACTAAAATTCTCTTTTATTTTACTATAATATGAAAAAATTGACCCGCCAGACAAAACCAAAATGATGCGTTGAAAAGGATCCTGCGCGCAACAAAACCCTATAAAAAGGGGAAAACGGGTGAAAAACCAGTCCTACGAAAGTGGTTTTCACCCTGGCCCGGGACCCCAAATTGTGGTCCAAAAGGGCTTTAATTTTTTGGGTTTTGTCGGGCACGGTCATATGTCTACTGTAATGATGCTATGTAAAGAAATTTTAGAGTGATAAATAAATTTATCTTTTTTAAAATCCAGCAATGCAATAACCATGACTCCCTCCCTGATTTTTTTTTTTAATATAATTTTTTTTTTTTTAATCCACCAAAAGAAATTTTCAAGAAAAAAAAAAAATTCTGGCAATTAATTGAATATATTTGTTTGTATTGAATGATGAATAAATTATTCAAAGATTTCCTTAATTTCATGCAAAGCAATGAATAACAGTGAGTGATATAATTTATATCTCACTGTTGACAATGAATTATACAGTAAGCTAGCATCATTATTTTATATAAAAAAAACCTTTATGCAGCTAATGAAATGCGAAAGCAGTATTATTTTGATGATTTTTTTTAACAAAAGAAGATAGAAAAAGGTAACATTACTGAACCTTGTGACAGATGGACTGTGGTTAGCTTTTGTCCACTTGGTTATTTTTAGAGCTTTATGGGAATGCATATATAATCAATTTAGTTTCCAATACATAAGTTAAAGGTTCAGAAAGAGTACAAAATGATAAAGTTACTTACTGTCATTGTGTGTCGTTTCTTCTGCCAGTTACTTTCTTATTAGAACATTCTTTGTTACACAAAATTTAATTAATACACAAAAAAGTAATATGTGTGTTGTGTTAAAAATAAATGAATATTATATAATTATCACTATGAAGTGAAATTTTCAAGAGTATTTTTTGTTCTTCATTTTTAAAAAGAAAAAAAAAGAGAGAGTAAAATTCAAGGTTTTGTGCATATTAAAGACTTATAGATTATGCATCTATGACTTGATTTGTTATAAATCCTGACTTTTGCTGTGTTAATGTTCTTTGTTTAGCATCATTATCGTCATATCATTTTTTGATATTCACACCCCCCACCACCACCCTACCCCCCTGTTTCTTTAGAGGCATCTTAATATGTTACTCTGTTTTTACCATGGTTTTAACCTTCACTTTATGAAACAGTTTTTATTTTTTTGAACTGATTTGTAATTTATTGTATATAAATTTTTGTCATATATTATTATTATTATATATATAAGTATATATATAGTGTATAGTGGATCTACATAAGCGGAGTCAGAGATCGTTATTTTTGTTACTGTGACTACAAAAATATGCATTATACTTTTGAAAAAATCATCATGTAATCTTTCATACATTGGTAGCCAATTGTTTAGTTTATTAACCATTAAAGATGTTTTTGGTTATGTATAATAATGTATAATACAAACACATTTCTTTATTTCTAGTAATTAACCCAAAATTAACCCAAAGATTATAAAGTCTTAATAAAGATCAATAAAGACAAAGTTTTTATATTTCTAGGTAATTCAGCCCCATGAAGAGAAAACTTAGCACTTATACAAAATTGTTGGTCAGAAAACCTTTAAAAAGGAGAATTTTCGAATTCCAGGTACTGACTCATTAATTAAGACAAATTTGCAGTTTTAGATGGCAAGTTTGACCTGTTATTTGACCTTAAAGACAATTTGCCTTTTATGAGTTTTTGATAAATTTTAGACAAATTTTCAAATTTCTTGAAAAATGACACTTTAAGACAAAGGTCGCTGGGGGATAAACGTAATTTTTCCAACAAATTAAGCATTGAAATTTTGTTCCTCTTTTTCTGGCTTAAAGAAAAAAAATGTTCTAATAGGTTTCATTATTAACAATTTTATAAAAAGATTTAAAAAAAAACACAACATATCTCAAAAGAAACTACAGTAAATTATCTCTATTAAACCAATGGTCCTAATAGGGAAATTGGGGCTTATAGTAAAAAAGCCCTTTGGCTTAAAAATTAATTGGGCTTAAATAATGAATAAGTATTTGTCTAAAAATGAATTGGTCTTTAAATTTTTATAAGCCCCTTTGGTTTAATTGTGTTGGGTTTTAATAGTGAATAAAAAACTTGTGGTCTAAATGGTGAATTGGTCTTAATAATGAATTAAGTCTTAATAAGCCACTTGAAGAAACTACATGTATCAGGAAAGTTGATATGTTGTACCAGTAACTTTTTATATTTCGGAATAAAAATGCATTTTTAGCTTGTAATCTGTTCTTTACCTAGTCTAGAGTACTAAATGTGCGTTTTCCAAAGACTTAAAACTGGCTTCCCAAAACATTTACATCAATAAATAACTCATTACAAACTTTATTCATGGTATGACTTCATCGTAAAATTCTCTTTTTTTTTCATAGCTCAGTTATTAAATATATTATTGATAGCTTAAAAAATTTTCCCCATTAGATTAGGCAGGCATTGAACTTTCTGTAAACTTAAGTTGTATCCCATCAAACATTGGAATTTGTTAAGTAAATTTTAGAACTTTTCAAAAAACTTTATTTTCTTTAGTGATAACATTTTTCATTAAAATATACTGCCTCTCAAGAGTTTCTCATTTTATTTGTTAGGGAAAAGACATAAACATACAGAATTGCCAATGCTTGTGACATGTCGTTAAAACCCTGTGGTTTGGCCACATGATTAAAGATACCCCGAGTAATTATGTTGCATATCTGTTACCCACCTTAGTCATTGCCTTGCAAAATTTTGTTCTTGAATACAGTTGAACTTAATTATCAAGTTGTCAGTACTGTATTGTACTATAATGGAAGAATGAATTGTATTTATATTATTAAGAAGTTAATAAAAAAAAACTGTAGAGAAGGCTGTGTAGGTATTCATTCTGGGTAGATTATCTTTTTCAGGCCTGTTGGTGGTCTGTTAAATGACCAATGGCCCAATGGGCTTCACTTTTCATCCCGTCTCTGATGTGTATTAACTTATTTTACATAAGATTAGATTTATTCATTATCAAATAAAAAGGTCACAAAAAGTAAGTTTTTGTGACAAAAATGAAATTGCTGAAAATGATTTTTTTCACTTTGCCCAGTCTCGTCAAAATCTTGTTCTCGTTTGCCACTGTAAGATCTTGGCATTATTGACCTTTAGTAGAATGTTATCAGCTTTTATAAATGGTTCATTGGTTAAGGTTTAATGTTGAACTTCTTTCTATATAAAGCTTTTCAAGTTAAGATGTGTGAAAAACTTAAGTGAAATTTGAATTGGATTGAATTTTTTAGTCTTTTTAATAGATTCATATTAAGAATCATATATTATTTTTACAGTTTGTTAAATGCATGTACTGTAGTTTGAGGCAGTATGCTTAAGTTCAGCTAGAAGTTGATTTGAAACTCTAAAAAGGTATATTATGTACCTCTTTATTGAAGATTCTTTAATTTGATCAGAAACTGATTAAATTGCTAAGCAATAAAGTATGATATGAATAGTAACTTTAGTCATACTTTACATATAATGTGAACAGTTGAATATTTCATAAAAGGGACTCCACTGAACTTTTTTTGACAGAAAGGAACTGGAAATTTTTTATTTTTTTTTTTTGAGAAATGTGTACAATTTGATGAAAGTCTGAACTAACAACTTGGTGTACAAAATTTGAGGACATTTAGGCAATACGCTTACTCTTTTCTGTTCCAAAAATTATAATAAATTTAATTGTACAGAATGACAAAAAATTTAAAAGTGTTTACATTCAAATCAGGCAAAGAGTTGCACAAAAAAGGTGAGAGAAAAACAAAATGAATTTCAATTGAATACTGAGTATTCCTCTTCTTTATCGTTTACATATTTTGCCATTTCAATTGTTTCAATCAGTTTATGTAAGAATATGATGGAACTCCATATTTTTTATGCAAATTTTGGTATCAGTTGAGCTCCATGTTAGTCTATATATTTTTAACATATATATTTCAAATATTTTTTTTTGCACAATTTTAGCTGTACTCTCAAGCTTTGATTTGCACACAATATATGTTTAAAGGCTTTATGCTACATATTTCATACAGACAAATATAGGCCTAATGAAAACTGCTTAGTAGAATTTTTATATGATTTTTGAATATGAAAAAAAGTAACATTTTTTGGCGAAAACAAAATTGGCGGATCACCAATCACGAGATCGCGTTGTATGTCCTTGAATTTGATTTTTTTATTGCTTATTTCAAGGGCAGTTTTCATACTCTGTATATTCGTCTATGAAAATTGTAGTATATGTCTAATTTTGCAGTTTAATTTGGTCTATATAAATCTTTCATTCACACTTAGCTGAATGTCCTTAATTGGTTATAAGATTATCATCATCATCATGACATCATCATTATCATCATCAGTTATCATCATTATCATCATCATTGTGCATGATAATCATTTTCATTATTATGATTATAAGTGGTGATTGCCCATTGTGATTGGTTAATATTCAGGTAGTGGTAAAAAATGAATAAATATTGGCATTTTCTGTTGGATTTACTAAACAAATATTGTACAAAATCAAAGTTTTACTCTTGTGCTAGCAGCATATGTTTGGTATAATAAATGGAGGGGCCCCTTAGTTCCTACTTTGCTCGTAAATCAGTGATGATACATGATTTTAACAGTGTTGGTCTGACACAAAAACCCAACACCAGCAACAAATAACAAGTACATGTGCAATGTGGTATGCATGTTTTGCAAAGTACTAGTACATAACATGAAACTTAATGAATTCTTATTTAGTGGTATCTGTGGCAAAGTGGTTAGGGTCATTGATGTCAAAACACTTGCCGTTCACTGCTATGGTTTTTTTTTTGGGGGGGGGGGGACTTGGGGTTCTTTCATTTGAGGAAGCTGTCTAGGTACCTTATAGAACGTTAGCGATTCTACTCAGATGCCAGTTTGTGCCTGAAATAATGAAAGGTCTTCCTCCACCAGTAAAGCTGCCATTTACTATGTTGGTGTCATGTAAACCCCCCCACTCCCCCACCCCCCCAAAAAAATAAAAATAAAATGAAAATCTGATTTCTTATGTCAGGATGCTTTAATTTCTACCATATACATTCTTTTTATGGTCACAAGCTGTCAAAATAAACAAAATGAACAAAATGTCAGAAAATATGCACAAACAGTATCCGACCCTTGAGACATGTAATTTTAACAGAAATTGTCAATTTTTATTACAATAATTGCCAATTACCTGATGATGTATATGAGGATCATTATTATACTGTAGATATTTAGCCTCCCTATATACAGACATATTCATGATTTACGTACATTGGTTATTAACAGTAAATAGATAAATATGTACATGTTAAACAAAACAAAAAGCCCTTGTATAGATATAGGGGTTTTAATCATGAAATATTTTGTATTTTTTCTGATTTTAACATGAAATAAAAGAATAATATTCATTTTGTTTGTCCTTTTGTTTCATACTGAATGCATTTGTAAACCAGTTTGAGGAATATTACATTAAAGGAACTCCACTGAGGTTCAATGGCCCAAAACATAAAAAAAATGAAGATGAAGTGTTCATATGTTGCTAAGTAACAACCTTCCTTTAAACCTTTGTAAAATTATTTCTAGATAGTGTACTTTTCAAGTTTTCATGCAGTACAGCTTGAGCTTTTAGGATCGTTGTCCGTCCGTCGTCCGTATGTTTGTCGTCCGTCTGTCAGCAATTTATGTAAAATAACATCTTTCTTAAAACCACAAGGCCAAAATGATGAAACTTAGCAGAAATTATTTTTCTGCTTGCATGAAGCTTAAGTTTATTTCTGTCAGCCAGGCCTTGGGAATTTTAGGAAATATTAAACCATGTTACATGACCATACATGCTTGTTTTTCCTTCAAACTTTTAAACGTTTTCCCGTTTTACATATGTAAATATAGATATGCATAAATATTAAGCTGTAAATATACAGTAAGCAGCATCATAGTGCGTCTTGTACACTCGTTTGCCATCAACCACAATTTTGCACGTGTGTAGTCCAGGTGACTGACTGACGTCACATCCGGGGTCACTGTAATATAGAGGTGCTCGTGATGTTGTGTCACTCAACCAACCGCAGCTGTAACACAAAATATTTAACATTTATTAATCTTTGCATCGTGATTAAAATAAATTAATCATGCAAGTTAAAGAAAATTCTCTGCGCTAGTTTAATTTTTCCTTCTTAGCCAATGTAAAAAATGCACTAGGCCCTACCCCTAGAATTTTTTTTTTAAATCCCATAAAATTTGAAATTCTTTCTAAGATTAACTGGGACAAAAAATAAACGAAGAGTATTTTGAAAGCATACGAAAGATTTCTAACAGATTGATACCCGGTTTATATTCTTATAGCCGTACAAATTTCGGCGCCAAAGGGCAAAGGTGTGACTGAGGTGTTGTACTAAAAAGCTCAAAACCATATCGGCTTTCAGTCAGTGCTAAATCAGCGCAGTGGTGTATTTTCAAATAGCAGAGGCACTGACTTCAAATGGACATGCAATTCAAATTTGCACAGCGTTGGGTGAGTGGGGGTCGGGCCAGTTGAGCTACTCCTTTGTCCACCATTAGGCCTATCTCAAGTAATTGTCCTGATCGAACGACCCCCCCCATTCAATTTTTCAAAACAAATTCAGGTATGTCAATGGCAACAATCAAGTGATAAAAATATCACGTATATTTTTTTTATATACAAACCAACAAAGATGGTAGCCTTCATCTCTGATATTTGACAACTCCCTGTGTGTTGCTAGGCGACCATCAAGTGACTGACAGAGCTCCTCGGCCTCGCCAAACGTCATTAATCTGGAATCACTGAACTTGACAGCGGATACTGTCCAGACGGTAAAAATAGATTATTAGTTATATATGAGCCGCGTCATGACAAAACCAACAGTCTGATCAGGATCCATGCTGTTCGCTATCAGTTTCTCAACTTGCTATAGGGTTTGTAAGCGAACAGCATGGATCCTGATCAGACTGCGCGGATGCTGGTTTTGTCGTGACGCGGCTCATATTATTTTGTTGTTACTATTCAATACAGAGTCAGTTACCTGAATAATACAATCAAAGGGCTGCAAGCTCTGTGGTATTTTCTGATCCCTGCAATCTAAATCGTACTGTATATCTGTATGTGTTTTCCTGCATAAGTTTATTTTTATGTACTATAAGTCATCTTGCAGGGCACCAGAGTTTGATACATACGGAATTTTGCATAACTAGAGTTGCATCAAAAAATAATTTATGTTCATTTTTTATGATAGCCACACTTTATCCTTGCATATCGTGGCTATTTCCTTAACAAAGACACTAAAAAAAAAGAATTAAAAAAATGTTGACTCGACTGGGATTTGACCTCTCACATATCAAACGAGCGCGTTACCCTTGCACCACGGAGAAGTTTTAAAATCAAAAGCTGAATAAAATTAAGTCATTCTAAATTTAGAATTTCCATTGCATTTCGGGTTAGGGTAATTTCGAGGTATTTTGTTCAGGGTAAACCTGTTGTTTAAATTTGAAGTAAATAATTTAGCGAAAATCTCCTCGCCCAAACAGTCCAACATGTAGAAACTATATATTCAACTACTCGGCAGTCAGATTTATTTGTGTAGTATTCGGTAATCTGGGATATCCCAGGGTAATCGACATCGCTAAAAATAGAATTTTCATTGATTAAAATCATATTCATCCGCGTAATTTGTGAGTGTGCATTTATTGACAACTCTATAAGCCAACGCTACTTTAAAAGTTTGAAGGTGTAGTAATTTGTTGGACACTTGTAACAAAAAATTGTTCTCTCTTTTAAATTGATGGTTTTTAAGCAGTTTTGAGTGAGAACTAATTTGCGTTGTTAGGACTGTTAGGAAATTTTGTGTTAGACCGTGGATGTTAGCTATGTATTATCTGATCTGCGATCAGAAAATACAAAAATCAAAATATAATATGGAAGCATCATGCCTCAAAATTTATGCTAATTTTCATAAAAATTTTGAAAATGTATATAAAAATAAAATATTGTGAAATGAACAAAGACAATAATTTACACATTGCAAACAGCACTTTGATGTTAATTACCAAAAAAAAGGTCAAAATATGCAAAAATAGAAATTACTGCGTTAGTTACGCAGTAATTTAAACTGAAAATCAGTCATAAATCGCACATAACATGTAAATTATTACTTGAATCTTGATTCATTTTACTTTTCTTATCTTAGTAAAATTTTCTCAAGTTTGATTTGTCTTAACAATTTTCGCTCATCTGGAGGCATGAAGCAGTATACATGTACATATATGTATACTATAAGTATTTTTTTAACAGATTCATATAAATATAATGTAGAATAGTAAAAATTAGCAGTTAACAAACCCGATCAACCTTGCTTATACACGTAATAAAAGCTGCAACAAATTTATAATGTAGTGAAAAATTGAAAGTAATTTCATATATTTACAACAACCACAGAGCTATATTTATAACAAAAGCCCCTGCAACAACGTAATTGTTAAAAATAACAAGGAACTTGGTGCGCATATCAAGAACGTGAAAATAGTGACCTATTTTAAGTCCAAGTTGAAAAATATACCACAAGAAAAGAAGAATCGACTTTATACCATGTTGTTGATTATTTTCTTTATTGATGCAGATTTTTAAATTACAATCTTCTGTTGTTGAGACTACATTTGTTATAACTGAAATGCTTCTTTTCGGTATTAAAAATGAAGCAGGCCTATGCAAAAGCGCAAAATACAATTTATGAAGAAAAACAGTTTTGTTCTAGAGTACATTTTTTGTTGTAATTTATAGAGATAATTAGTAAAATAACAAACAAGTTAACAAACAATCAATATTCACAAATAAATGTCAATGTAGAATATTGTTTCAACTTGACACGACATACTGACCATGCTTGGTAAATTCTATTTAAATGTTTGCTAATTAAAATAGAAGGAAAAAATGAACTTACTTTTCATATGCTCGCTTATCCATAAATGATCACTGGATTGGTCGCCATCTGCCGGCACAAGAGTGCTGTTTTGTTGTATGTAATGACGACACACTTTCGTGATTTCATTAAACATTACAGCGTGACAGTCCAGACATCTCCTCAGACAGTCAAATCGTGAAACAGTTCCAGATTTACTGCGGAACTCGTCTCCTAAAATGGCGACGCTTCCGGCCCGAAAAAAGTATCGTCCTTGAACATTTCCACCTTCTGACGAATATACAGATAAAGCATGCACACAAATTAACAGGCTGACTAAAATAAAATAAGTATTCATTTTAAGAAATAATTTCTTGCTAATATTGGAATGGAAACACTTTTCGTACTTATTTTAGTGAAATAACAGTGAAAATCACGGACTTTAATTTACAAGTCCGAGGTGAAATCTGATGCCGGTTTAAGAAAAGTGAATATTGGAGAAGGAAACGACTAAATGAATTAATTTCATGGCTATGAACGTTGAATAAAGATGTCAATATGTGATAATATTGAAACATTATCTTTGTCGTATGACCAGTGTTCCAAGAGATACGTTACTTCAATACATTTTAATTAAGAAATTGTTTGCTTACGATACCGACATGACCAGATAAAAGAACTTGTTTTCTCCTGCATTGAATTAATCCAATTTGTGCCCTCGATGTGTTTCTCTCCTAATGTATTTTTGTATCAAACTTATTTATTGTTCACCGAAAAATTGACAACGTTCATTGTTTTCTATAGAGATTTTGAAAATTCAAAATATTGATAGAAAGTTGAGAAGATGTGCACAAATGTATAATATATATTAAAAATGATGAATTTTGTTATTTTTAATTTCCTTTCTAAATATCATTGTATCTAAAATAGTAACCAGTTCATCTTTTGTTTACTTCTTAGGTTGCTTATAAAAAAAAACAATGATACAAAACTTTTTTTAATTCAACGGTTGTTGAATAGCAGAACAAATATTTTAGCATAACATGTCAGATTACAGAAAATTAGAATTTATTATGTACTTACAAATGAAATTTTGAGAAATATAAATGAAATAAAATGTGTATTTTCATTTTCCGTATTTTCGTTGTAATGTTTTTTTTTCATTGCAGTGAAACATATTTTCCGTATTTTCACTGATGCTTTGCCGGACAATTTTCTTCTTAATTCAGCCAATACACACATTTTTAAGTGAAGTCTTTTAAATTGTAATATCATTAAAAAAAGGTATTTAAGAAACAAAAAAACTCTTTTTTTCTATAAATACAGGATTTATTTTCATTCAGTGGTATGAAAATTATCATATTTCACTCGTGGCTGCAGCCCTTATGAAATATTTATTTTCATACCACTAGATGAAAATAAATCCCGTATTTATAGGGAAAAAAATCTTAAATATCCTCTATTTATATACTTATGAAGCAATGTCTCCCTTTCAAAAAAATGTATATGAAAAAAAGAAATAAATGAACTAATATGTTGACATTGATGTGAAAGTCAGCAACCAACGTATAAGGTAATACATGCAAAAAACCATATCAATTTTTACTTATCTTAAAATATTACAAATGGGTCAATTAAAATTTTGAATAAATTAACTTATGAGCAGAAACATATAAAACTTACTTTTGGTTAAAACATATTTATTCCCAAAAGTATATATAATGTACATACAAGTAATCAATAAACAAAATATATTTACAAAATGGAAAAGGATAAGAACGAAAGACGAGCCTCTTTCAAACGTACTTTAAATCATTCTGTACCGATCGACTTTAGTGGAATTATTAACTTCAGAAAACCATTGTTTATAATATTGATCATATACATGTATGCGTTGGATAAGAGACTTAAGAAAAATAGCATGAGGATTATCAAATAAATAAAAAAAATACCTAAGTCTTGTAAGATACATTTTACATCATTGGTCCATTTATCAACAAATCGATTGTTACTTTCCGTCATCATCATAAGTTTATACAATCAAAGCACTGAAAGCACTGGAGGAGCAATTGTGTTAACAAGTTGATACAAAAATGAATCAGGATTCTCAACAGTTATAAACCAAAAACTTAACAATACATGTGCTAATCTTCGTCATAAGTTTATACAATCAAAGCACTGAAAGCACTGGAGGAGCAATTGTGTTAACAAGTTGATACAACATTGAATCTGGATTCTCAACAGTTCTAAACCAAAACTTAACAATACATGTGCTTATCTCAAAACAAGAAGGGGTGTCTATTTCGGTAATAAGTATGATGACACAATAGTAATGAAAGCCTGTTTCAGAACATACGATATATGTAATAAAAGTCAATTAAACCATTACTTTAGCCGATTATTTTGTTAGCACAGTACCCAAAACGTATTATTGAGACTGTAATTTGGCGCTTTTAGTAATAAAGAAAACAATTAGTAAAATCTTCAGTAATTACGTACATGAACATTTTTATTGACCAAATCTAAAAAATGACATTCATCTAACATTATACTTCATGGTGTTGGAATGTCTCTTTTTTCAAAAGTTACTTAAACAATTTATGTTTTTTTTTTCTTTAAAAAATGTTTGTTCATGTACAGTGGTACAGTCTAAATTTTCCAGAAGTTATGACATAGGTTTTTTCAATAACGTTTTAACAATAGCATTCACACTCTGTGCAGTCTGTTTTACATGTCTAAAATAATCTAACTGCATTGTATCACTTCTATTAGCAATTAATGCTATATAAATCAAGCAAATTAAAATTCCTTTGAATAAAGTAATACCCTCAATTAGCTGCTTAGGAAGCGTATAATACATAGAATTAAAGGAACACCAATGAGGTTTAAAAGCATAAAGCACAAAATTTAAATTTCATACATAGATCACCTGGTATACTTGAAATAGAAAGATACGCAAAAGATAATTTAAAAATATACTGAGAAATAGATTGAAAATCTTATTTTTGTGTTATTCTTAGCCCGATTTGAAAGGTGTTGAAAGGCTTTTCAATTTTGGATCATTTTTCACAATAAGGATTATTATTCTGGAAAAAACTGAGTGAGCGAATGATCTGAAATTTTCCACACAAGTTTTTGGCATAGATCTACAAGAAATTGAAAATTTATGTCGAAAAATTATTCCCAGTCCTGTAATGTAAAATCCCCTCAGTGGAGTCCCTTTAAATATAGAATGTTTAATGGAAGTGATCCGCAAGTACATGTATGTTGATATTTTTTTATACCATGCACCTATAGACCATCTCTTCAGTCGAAAAAGAAAATTAATAAATATATAAATGAATAAATAAATGAATCCATAGAGGAAAGTTAAGAGGGTAGAATTAAATTTTTATTTTCTTTTAAAAAAAAGCTTTGACTTTCATAGAAAATCTTGAAAAAGGAAATTGAAAAATTTACCTTGTGAATGACTTACTTTGACCTTCACAGATGAAGAGTTCCAATGTTTATCTGAACCAGCGGCGTCTCCCATGGTCTTTTTCCCTCATTCAAAGATGCTCAATTTTGAAATCACACGGAGTTCATCTCCATATATCTGCAATACGGACTTTGCTCGCTCGCCGTAACTCCGCTCTACATTCTGTCCAATCTTTCCATTACCTTTCAACCATACAGTAACAACTCAGCCGACCTACTATCTGAAACTGCATGTTAAATAACTGACAAGAATGTTCGCTATGTCTCGCCGACATATTTGTACAAACAGCGCTCTCAACAAAAATATTTAGAAATTCATGTACCTTATTCACACATTTCATCGTTCAATGACATTTACCGATTTTCAATATAGGTAAAAATCTATAAAATATAAATTAAAATTCTTGACAACACCTACCTTGTTCATTATACCTCAGAAAACATTGCCGCTCTTTTAAAGGGAGTGGGGCAGGTGTTTACTACATGTAGCAGGGCGTGCTTTTGAACATATATTTTACAATTTCTGATCACGGACTGTTTACCAATCACGTGTATTCATACGCTAAATGATTCATTAAAACTATTTTTTTATAACATCTTACACTTTAATTAACAATGCTTTAACAGTCCGAAGCATGCATTTTCGTAATAAAAAATACACAGAGCTGCACAAATTGGTATGTGGCCGCGAGAAAAACATGCAGCGTATTATGTCACAATTTTCACGCGGAGGAAAATTGATGTATTACACAAGAGACTGTGTATAAATTTAAAACTATGGTCTTTGATGTAAAAGAGACATTTCCAGTTCTTGTAAGAAATCCTGTTCGTTACTTGTATCACTTTCTCAAATCAGCGTTTTCTATGTATTTTTTGTAAATGTTGGCGCTTATATAAAGAGGATGAAACTGTCAAAAGTTGGAAGAGTTACTTTAGAATTTCCCATTGTAAGGCTCATTGTGAAGTCATAGGCTCTGCATAAAGGTAGGGTGTTTATTTAATTATACAATATTCTTTTTCTTTTTATACAAAATAAAATTTGTTATACTTTCATATAATTTTAACAGCAAAAAATGTAAAAGAAAAAATTTAATACTCTACTTCTTATCATTTAAATAAGCAGATTTTTTTCTTTACCAAAATATTTTACCAAAGTAAATGTGTTACGATTCAATCCTATTGGACAAAAAATAATTTCAAACAATAATATGTGTTTTATTGAAACACATTAATATAAAAAAAGCATTCTTAGAAAATACATTTTCGTTTTATAGCAAACAGTTTACGAATTTGGTTGGATTAATCTTGAAATTTATTCTTAACGAAATCAAAGACCTAAAGTGTTTGAAATTATTTTTTGTCAGCTAAAATTGCAGTATTTTAAATGAATTAATGTTTGAAATTATTTTTTGTCCAATAGGATTGCAGTTTTTCAAACGAACCGTAACACATTTACTTTGATAAAATCGGCACTTTTAAATCGACTGTTTAGAAAATAATTTAAAACACGAAGCTATATAAAATTCACTAGTACGTATCTAAAAAATTAAAATGGTCCAACAGCTTAATAATAAACATTAACTTACTGAGCTTACGAGTTCATACTCAAATATAAGAATTATTTCATTTCTATGCCTGAAATATTAGGCCTAGATTATAATAAATGTATTCTTTATGTTTTCCAATAACTATTAAGCATAATTATAATAACCTTTATAAAATGCTACATTTTTTGAATTTAAGAGTTCTGCTCTGGCAATTTCAAATTGAGATGTCTAAGATTATCACACATTTTATAGTTTTGTTCATTTGGAACTGCCTCGGCTATTATCTATGTCCGAAGACTGACGGAAAGGGCCGAGTAGTTGCGATTGAGTTTTGATATGTTTTGTTTTATGTAAGTACTATGTCAATGTAGATGGGAACCATTTATGTTAATTGGATATTTTACTGTTTTTCTTTTCGAATTTACACACTGAAAAGATTGAATTTTGTAATTATAACAATTATTAAATTGACACAATATTTTTTTATGCGGCGCAGATATATCATGGCGGATTCTCTTGTAGGTTTATATTTAATCGAAGTGAGCTCGTAATAATTCCGTATTTCAATCAGTATAGCATAATCTGCTGTAAATATTTTATGTTTAATAATAAATAAATTATCAACTTTGTTAATGCCAACAGAGTACGTCATTTTTTTTTTATTATATTGCGGCATTCCCCTTTACTGGGCTGTAGGCCTGCTGCATTTTGTAAATAGTTTAAAGTTGATTTTTTTAGAACTAACATTTCCAAGGCATTTGTACAGCCATTATTATCCTAACTAAGGGTAAGTTAGAGAATGGTCTTATTCTTAATTGTAGCAACATTCCGAACAAATATCATTATTTTTCATAAAATTTTTAGTACAAAAAGTAACGGTAAAGATACGAATATTAAACGAAATGTTTCGTCTTATCATTAATTATTAAATGTTTACACGTAATGACGTTCCGATGTCCGAAATTGTTACCAAAATACATATTGGGCGTAGGTTTCGGCCATTAACACATCTGTGGAAGTTTCTAAATTCCAAATTTCATACCATTTTTATGTTTAATTGTTGAATTGTACCATAGTCGGTGCTAGGGAGGGTGTAGGATGGTTGTTTGCATTAACCACTACCATCCATGAAGACATTTTCAACATTTTCAATTTTACTTTGGGCGGTCTTTAGCAATTCCATTTTTGACCATTTTCTAATAGGTCTAAATTTTTCTTTACATTATTGTTTTGATTGAATTCGCATCAGATTGCACCAAGCATATGGTGTAAATGGTATTTAAAGCTGCACGCCTCCAGATGAGCCAAAATATTTCAAGAAATTCAATATTTAGAAAAATGTATTAAGATCATAAGAAAAGTAAAGAGATTCAATATTTAATTAATTATTTACATGTTATGTGCGATTAATGAATGCTTTTGCAGTATCAATCACTATAATTTAGTGAGAAGTATTTATGTATATTTTGACCTCTTTTTGGTAATTTACGTGAATTGTAAGTGCCGTTTGCAATTGGTTCACTTCACAATATTTTACTTTAACATACATTTTCAAAATTTTCATGAAAATTAATAATCTGGACGCATGGTGCTTTAAGGTATTGATAAGACTATAAGGAACTGAAAAATTGACAACTTAGTTGAGTTATAATCATGTACATGTATATTGATTCAAAGAGCTTTAAATTACTATAATGAACATTGGTCATGCTTTTATGACATAGGATTTTTTTTATTGTAAACTTGGGTTATCGGATAAATAAACGACGTTTGTTACAACTTGCTTGCAGCGCGTGTTTTTATAGCATGTAATTCTCATGTAAAAAGCATTTACATATGTTCCAACAGAAAATGTAACTTTAATGACTTAAAGAAAACCATGTGACAAGCAAGATGGATTTTAAATTGTGTCAAGTTTTACGTGTTATTAACGGTGGTAAAAATCAAAGCACTGGAAATGCTGGAAAGAAGTGGAGTATTTGAGTCAGAATTACAACCTCTTTAAGTGTTTATCACATGTAGCACGTGCGTTTTAGTTAAAAGTATTTCAAAATGTTTTCCGCTGACAAAATTTTATTGGAAACCATATTTGTTTCTGAAATTAACAATTATTTGTGTTTTTGTATGTACAATTTTATTGCAATACAGGTCACCTACATTAATCTTTTATCACATTGAATTAACTGTTATATTATGTTAAATCGAAATAAATAACTTCAAAACACACACGCTGGTGATTGATTCGCCTGACTAGAACTGGAAACAATGCCTCATTCTGATATATTCAACGGGGGTCAGAAAAATGCAATCAAGCGGAAAGCCAATTTCTAGATGATTATTATTACTGCACAAAGAAATATCTACGGCAAATGTGGACCCGAAAATGAAAATTGCTAAATTCACGCATTCATGCACAATTTTACTAGGTATATAAGCTTCGTTTCAATAACATTAGTTAAAAACAATACATATAAGCAATATGTTTTGCCATTTTACTTTCGGCTATATGGACAACGCCGTGCTGGTTCTCAAAATCGAGAAAATTACCTACTCATTATAGGTTTTCCCAGGGTTAAAATTAGAAACTGCATCGCTTTTAAAATTATGAAAGCTCGTCGATGATTGGCTGTGTGAAAGGTCACCAGAAATGACTTCGTATTTGGTCACGGTTAGAGCTAAAAGCGGAGCGTTATTTAGAGCTGATTTTACAAGTCCGTTTACAAGTTATTGTGTTAAAATTCAATGTACAAAAGTTACACTTTAAATTCATTTTAAATAACTTTAGCATTTTTTCTTCTGAATTAAGGTATGAAGTTGTTTCAATGTTGCTTTATATGCGCTGTAGTTCGCGACAAAGGTGCAGTCGTTTAGGTAACGGTTATCAAAGTGAATATCAAGGTTAGACTCTACATCTTTCATACGTTCTTTAAAACTTTATCAAAAATAACATTTCGTATATTTCAGGTATAATCATGATGGTAATAGCAGTAACATGTTTGACATTGGTTCTCTGTGTGTCGCCGTCGCTTTCGACCGTCCATATGAACGAGAATGGTAAGTTCGTCATTAAAATTTTGTTTATCTAAGCTTCATTTTCTGGATTTAAATAATTAATTTCGAGAAATCTGACAAACTATGTCTTTTACTTACTTTCTCTATTGTTCGACTTCACTTCATTACTTTAGAAATAACACTGCACGTAATGAATAAATAGGTACTATATTCTATATTCGTAGCTTGATTTCTAGTTACCTACTTAACCAGAACTTTCTTTGTTGCTATTAAAATATCTGAGGCACAATGTTTGAGGCATAATAAAATTTGTTTGCTTTTGAATTCTTAAGGAGGAAAGAACATGATGCCGGAGATGCCAATGGAAAAACCAGAAATGAAAATGGCGAAAAATAACATGATGAATAAAATGCCTATGCCTATGATGAAAAAGATGATGCCGATGATGTCGATGAACAACAAAATGCCCATGGACATGAAAATGATGCCAATGGACAACAAAATGATGCCAATGAACAACAAAATGATGGACATGAAAATGATGCCAATGAATATGATGCCAATGGACAACAAAATGATGGACATGAAAATGATGCCAATGGACAACAAAATGATGCCAATGAACATGAAAATGATGCCAATAGACAACAAAATGATGCCAATGAACATGAAAATGATGCCCATGGACATGAAAATGATGCCAATGAATAACAAAATGATGCCAATGGATAACAAAATGATGCCAATGGACATGAAAATGATGCCAATGGACATGAAAATGATGCCAATGAATAACAAAATGATGCCAATGGATAACAAAATGATGCCAATGGACATGAAAATGATGTCAATGGACAACAAAATGATGGACATGAAAATGATGCCAATGGACATGAAAATGATGCCAATGGATAACAAAATGATGCCAATGGATATGAAAAATGATGCCAATGGACATGAAAATGATGCCAATGGATAACAAAATGATGCCAATGAATATGATGCCAATGGACAACAAAATGATGGACATGAAAATGATGCCCATGGACATGAAAATGATGCCAATGGACAACAAAATGATGCCAATGGATATGAAAATGATGCCAATGGACATGAAAATGATGCCAATGGATAACAAAATGATGCCAATGAATATGATGCCAATGGACAACAAAATGATGGACATGAAAATGATGCCGATGGATAACAAAATGATGCCAATGGATATGAAAATGATGCCAATGGATAATAAAATGATGCCAATGGACATGAAAATGATGCCAATGCCAATGGATAACAAAATGATGCCAATGGACAACAAAATGATGCCAATGGGTAACAAAATGATGGACATGAAAATGATGCCGATGGATAATAAAATGATGCCAATGGATATGAAAATGATGCCTATGGATATGAAAATGATGCCCATGGATAACAAAATGATGCCAATGGATAACAAAATGATGCCAATGAATAACAAAATGATGCCAATGGATAACAAAATGATGCCTATGGAAATGATGAAAATGATGCCAATGGATATGAAAATGATGATGAAGGATTGCCCTCCTGAAATGATGCCAATGATGATGGAGATGATGAAAATGATGCCAATGGACAACAAAATGATGCCAATGGATAACAAAATGATGCCAATGGATATGAAAATGATGCCAATGCCAATGGATAACAAAATGATGACAATGGACAACAAAATGATGCCTATGGATAACAAAATGATGCCAATGGACAACAAAATGATGCCAATGGACATGAAAATGATGCCAATGGATAACAAAATGATGCCAATGGATATGAAAATGATGCCAATGGATAACAAAATGATGCCAATGGATATGGAAATGATGCCAATGAATAACAAAATGATGCCAATGGACATGAAAATGATGCCAATGGATAACAAAAATGATGCCAATGGATATGAAAATGATGCCAATGCCAATGGATAACAAAATGATGCCAATGGACATGAAAATGATGCAAATGGATAATAAAATGATGCCAATGGATATGAAAATGATGCCAATGGATAACAAAATGATGCCAATGGATATGAAAATGATGCCAATGCCAATGGATAACAAAATGATGCCAATGGACATGAAAATGATGCCAATGCCAATGGATAACAAAATGATGCCAATGGACATGAAAATGATGCCAATGGATAACAAAATGATGCCAATGGATATGAAAATGATGCCAATGCCAATGGATAACAAAATGATGCCAATGCCAATGGATAACAAAATGATGCCAATGGGTCCAGACTGTCCACCAGGTATGCAGGGTATGGACATGAAAATGAAAAAGAAAGGTGGATACTGAAAAATAAGTTATTGAAATTTACTAGTATTCAAATTGATTGGGTTCGCCCTTTACCATCAAAAAATGGCATAGACTTTTTAGGGTACACGTTTACATGTAAACGAGAGTTCAATAAATTATGTAATAAATTTCTTTGCTTTACTGGTATTTCAAAACCAAATAAATGTGGACTGTTCGTTAGAACATATTCCAGCTTTTAATTTCATATATCAACACTATAGTTGGAATTGATTTTTTCCCAGTCCAAGTCTGGTTTTTGACTTCATGTAAAATTTGCAGGGAAGAATTGAATATAAGAAGGGTTTTCATTGGTCATTTTAAAATTACAAAATGAAATCTGGGAATCTCATTGGCCATTCTAAACTAAAATGTAAATGAAAGTTCTTGCCATTATAAAATAAATGTAAAGGATACAGTAGTTATAAAATACACCTTTTTTGTAAAATGAAAAGGATAATTCTTTCTAGTCAAATGGCTTAGATATTTAAATTCTGTTTAACAATACTTCCTCCCACAAAACATTTTACACTGCATTCAGATCTTTTTACATTTTCTAGTGAACAGTTTTTTAGTACATTTTGCATAAGATCTGGGTTTTTTTTTTAAATTTTGTCCAAAAGTACCGATACTTATCAGAACCTAATCAGGTACCTTAAGTTTATGATGTTCAATAAGTGTCTCATATATTGTATGATTATCGTTGTGTTCAATTAATGAAAATGTTGATAATTTTCACACATTTTTGCATATTATTAATATTAATCAAGTATATAAACAAAAGCAATAAAAGGCTAGATAATATAAAGTCCCGATCCAGGACTTGTGTGGCATGACATAATTGGGAAAGATAATCACCGCCATTGTATACACACCGGCAGTAAGACCGGTATACACAATGTCAGTAAGACCGTGTACACAATGTCAGTAAGACCTGTGTACACAATGTAATCACCGTAGTTTAATTACTAAAGAATCAAAATGTGATATTCGTGAAATGACATATTATATATATCTTAGGTTAATATCAATATACACTATTCTTCTTATCAGATGACCCCATCATGTGTATTATTCTTGATTCGTAATACTGTAAAACGTTTCACCAACACTTGTTTTAAGCCAATTCTTTGGAAATATGCTAGAAACGCATATACTGTAATTTTTTGCTTCCGGATAAAAAACGAAACAAGATCAGTTTTGGTGAGCAATATTTTGAAAATCTAAGGAATTTTCAGATAACACTTTTAAAAATCGCCGAGTTACTCTGAAGGTTAGTCTTCCAACAGTTGCTTTTGCTGAATCAATTTGTTACTCAGAATAATCAATTTGTTAATATGTAGAATCAAAAAGTTACTCAGTAGAAATTGGTAAATCTGCCTCAGCAGAATCAAATGATTACCCAGCAGAATAAAACGGTCACTCATCAGAACCAATAGATTTCTTTGTCTCAGTAGGATCAAATGGTAACTCAGCAGAAAAGAATGGTTAAATCTGCAGAATAACCTTTTGATTCTGCAGAATAACCATTTGATTCTTCAGAATAACTATTTGATTCTGCAGAATAACCATTTGATTCTGCAGAATAAGCAATTGACTCTGCAAAATAACCATTTGATTCTGACAATTAGCCTTTTGGTTCTCCGGAATACAATTATGGTTCTTCAGATTAACCAAACCTATTCTGCAGGGTATTGATCTTACAGAGTAACCTTTGATTGTGCAGAATAAACTATGGATTCTGATGAATTACCATTTCATTTGATTTTGCTTAGTTACCAGCAGTATCAAATGGTTACTTAGCAGAATCAAATCGAATAGTTACTCAGATTAAACAAATGGTTACTCAGCAAAATCAAATGGTTATTGAGCGAAATCAAATGGTTACTCAGCGGAATCAAATGGTTACTCAGCAGAATCAAATGGTTACTCAAGAAAATCAAATGATTACTCATTTGGTTACTTAGCAAAACCAATTCAAATGGTTCCTCAGCAGAATCAATTGGTAACTTAGCAGAATCAAATGGTTACTCAGCAGGATCAATTGATTACTCAGCAAAATCAAATAGTTACTTAGCAGAATTAGTTCGTTACCCAGCAAAATCAAATAATTATTCAGTAGGATCAAATGGTTACTCAACAAAATCAAATGGTTACTCAGCAGAAATAAATGGTTACAAAACAAAATCAAATGACAACTCCGCAGAATCAAATGGTAACTCGGCAGAATGAAATGATTCTTCAGCAGAACCAAATAGTTACTCAGCAGAATAAATTGGCTACTCAGCAGAAACAAATGATCCCTCAGTAGAATCAGTAGTTTATTTTGCATAATCTAAAGGTTAGTCCGTAATATCAGTAAGTAAACCTGCAGAAGCAGTAGGTTACTCTAATGACTATTTGGTTAATCTGAAGAACCATTATTTTATTCTGGAGGTTACTTGGTAGAATCAAATGCTTATATTGCAGAATCATTATATTACTCAGTAAAATCAAAGGTTACTATTCTAAATCAGTCGGTTACACCCTGTGGAATCAATGGGTCATGTTGTTATGTTGCTCTTCAAAGCAATTGATTACTCTGCAGAAACAATATGTTACGTATAAGAATCAATTGATTACTTTGAAAACCAGTAGATAAATAAGTCTGCAGAATCCATTGGTTATTCTGGAAAACCTCTATGTAACTGCAAAGAAATTCCATGTTACTGTGAAGAACCTCAATGCTACTGTGAATAAACACTATGTTATTCTGAGGAACCACTATGTTATTCTGAGGAACCACTATGTTACTGTGAAGAACCACTATGTTACTGTGAAGAACCACTTTGTTACTGTGAAGAACCACTATGTTACTGTGAAGAACCACTATGTTACTGTGAAGAACCACTATATTACTGTGAAGAACCACTATGTTACTGTGAAGAACCACTATGTTACTGTGAAGAACCACTATGTAACTGTGAAGAAATCAATATGTTACTGTGAAGAACCACTATGTTTACTAAGTGAAGAACCACTATGTTACTGTGAAGAACCACTATATTACTGTGAAGAACCACTATGTTACTGTGAAGAACCACTATGTTACTGTGAAGAACCAATATGTTACCGTGAAGAAACCAGTATGTTTCTGTGAAGAACCAATATGTTACTGTGAAGAACCACTATATTACTGTGAAGAACCAATATTTTACTGTGAAGAACCACTATATTACTGTGAAGAACCAATATGTTACTGTGAAGAACCACTATTTTACTGTGAAGAACCACTATGTTTACTGTGAAGAACAAATATGTTATTCTGAAGAACCAATATGTTTACTGTGAAGAACCAATATGTTACTGTGAAGAACCAATATGTTACCGTGAAGAACCACTATGTTACTGTGAAGAACCAATATGTTACTCTGAAGAACCAATATGTTACTGAGAAGAACCAATATGTTACTGCAAAGAACCACTATGTTACTGTGAAGAACTAATATGTTATTCTGAAGAATCAATATGTTACTGTGAAGAACCAATATGTTACTGTGAAGAACCAATATGTTACTGTGAAGAACCACTATGTTACTGTGAAGAACCAATATGTTATTCTGAAGAACCAATATGTTACTGTGAAGAACCAATATGTTACTGCAAAGAACCACTATGTTACTGTGAAAAAAACCACTATGTCACTGTGAAGAACCACTATGTTACTGTGAAGAACCACTATGTTACTGCAAAGAACCACTATGTTACTGTGAAGAACCAATATGTTATTCTGAAGAACCAATATGTTACTGCAAAGAACCACTATGTTACTGTGAAGAACCAATATGTTATTCTGAAGAACCAATATGTTACTGTGAAGAACCAATATGTTACTGCAAAGAACCACTATGTTACTGTGAAAAACCACTATGTTACACTGCAGAATGAACACTCTGAGGACCAATAATTTTCTATGAGGGAGAACAAGTTTCACTGAGGGTCCAACAAGTTTCTCTAATAGGGTCAATAGATTACTCAGTGGCACAGATGATGGCTTTTTCGCAATGTAAGGCATAAAACAAGATCTTACAAAACTTTTTTAAAAATTGATTTTATTTTTTTCATATAAGTTTCATTTAAATATTAACTAGAAAAAAAATATTTACATTAAAACCATCAATAAAATTCTTCTACAGGTTTCTATTCATCTGAATCAATTTACAAAATAAATCTTCATACAGAAGTGAAACCGTGAAGAAAATTGCATCAATAATAATAGGGTGAAAACATTCAAAATTTGATCTGAAAACCAAATCAGCCATAATCCCCTCCTATTACCTATCCTTTTAAAGTTTGTACTGATATTGCATGATGCTGGCATATTTTAAGTGATACTTAATTAAATTCAGCTTGTTAAAAGACGTTTTAGGGAGTTTTCATATACACATATAGGCAAAAATAAAACTGTTTAACAGTAATTTATATAAACTTGGCATGTTGTTACAAAACTATAACAGAAAGTTATCAATTAAGCAAAAAAAAAGAAAATTGGGGTCATCGCTCTTTTAAAAAAAATTAAATTCCCCTGAATTGGAATGATGTGCTTAATTCAAGGGCAGATAATTCACAATGAAGGTAACAATACCTTATATTTTATTTTCATGTAGCTTTCTTCCGTTTTGAGCTAATGTGCAAAATTTCAATATTTAGAGAAAAGTAGAGGTAATCCAGAGGTAAAATAAGATTTTATATATATTTTGTAAATATATTATATATATATATATATATGTAATCTGTACTTAAAGCTGCATGCCTCCAGATGAGTCAAAATATTTCAAGAAAATAAAACTTGAGAAAAATGTATTGAGGTTTTATGAAAAGTAAAAAGACTAAAGATAAAAGTAATAATTTCCATGTTTTTTGCGATTGATGGCCAATTTTTCAGTAATTTTCACCATATTTCTACTGCGTTACTAACGCAGTAAGGGTTAATCTTGCATATTTTGACCTCTTTTTTGTAAATTACATTGGTTGTAAGTGCCGTTTGAAATGTGCATATTATTTTCTCTGTCAGCTTAACAATATTTTACTTTTAAATACATTTTCAAAATTTTCATAAACATTAGCAGGAATCTGGAGGCGTGCTGCTTTAAAA